TTTGAGGCGACATGGAGTGGTAAGTCCTTAGTGGAAAGCCAAACATTTTGGCCTGGTCTGTAGGAGGGAGCGACCCTGCGATGGACGTCTGCAACAGCCTTCATCCGAGCTGAACTTCGGAGAAGAGCCTGGCGAGCACCAGCCCAAACTCGTCGACAACGTCTGATCATGGCATGAGCCGATGGAACCCTCACCTCTTCCTCGTTGTTAGGGAAAAATGGAGGCTGGAAACCATTGACACAATGGAATGGAGAGAGACCTGTGGCTGCCGTAGGAAGAGTATTGTGGGCAAACTCGACCCATGTGAGGTGGTCACTCCAGGTAGTCTGGTTCCGGGAGACGAGACAACGTAGCGTAGTCTCTAGTTCCTGGTTCAGACGCTCCGACTGTCCATTTGACTGAGGATGATATCCTGATGACAAGCTGACGGTGGCACCTATGAGTCGACAAAACTCCTTCCAGAAAACGGAAATGAATTGTGGACCCCTGTCGGAAACAATGTCATCAGGGAATCCATGGATCCTGAATATGTGATTCATCATGACCTCTGCGGTGACTTTGGCAGAGGGAAGCTTGGTCAATGGGATGAAGTGAGCCATCTTTGAAAATCGATCCACCACTGTTAGGACCGTAGTCTTGCCTCTGGATGAAGGAAATCCTGTCACAAAATCCATTGAAATGTGTGACCAAGGACGTTGGGGAATCGGCAGGGGCTGGAGCAAGCCCATCTTGACTTGTGATGAGGTCTTATTACACGCACACACCGGACAAGCCGCTACGTACTCTGCCACATCTTTCTTCATGGCTGGCCACCAGAAACGTTGTTGTATCCTGAACATTGTCCTTGTTACCCCCGGATGGCACGAAAGCACAGATGAGTGAGCCCAGTGGATGACCTTGGAGTGAAGAGCCTCAGGAACAAACAGCAGATTGTTGGGACACTCGCTAGGTGCTGGATTCTTGACATTCGCCTTTTTTACGTCCGACTCCACTTGCCAGGAAAAGGCTCCGATCACACGGTTAAGTGGAAGGATGGTCTTGGGCTCTACCGCAAGTGGTTCCGGATCATAAAGACGAGACAAAGCATCGGGTTTTTGATTCTGAGACCCGGGACGAAAAGAGAGGGTGAAATTGAACCTACTAAAGAATAGTGTCCACCTGGCCTGACGGGAGTTGAGACGCTTAGCCTTTCTTATATATTCCAGATTCTTGTGATCTGTCCAGACTAAAAACGGCTGCTCTGCACCCTCTAACCAGTATCTCCATTCCTCGAGGGCAGCTTTTACAGCTAACAGTTCCTTGTTCCCCACGTCGTAATTCCGCTCTGCCGTTGTCAGTTTCCGCGACAGGTAAGCACATGGATGCATCTTGTTGTCTTCTGCAGAACGTTGAGACAGTACTCCTCCAATTCCCTGATTGGAAGCATCAACCTCGACCATAAACTGGCGCTGGGGATCTGGAATGGTGAGTATGGGGGCTGATGTGAATCTCTCTCTGAGACGTTGGAAAGCGAAGTCCGCCTGGGGAGTCCACTTGAAAGGAACCTTAGGAGAAGTCAGAACATGTAGAGGGGCAGCAACAGAACTGAAATTCCTAATAAACTTCCTATAGAAGTTAGCAAACCCTAGAAACTGTTGGACCTTCTTCCTGGAGTCTGGTGTAGGCCACTGGGATACTGCACTGATTTTAGCCGGATCCATTTGCATATGATTAGGTGAGATTATGTATCCTAAGAAGGATACCTCTTTTGTGTGGAACTCACACTTCTCTGCCTTGACATATAACTGATTCTCTAGCAGTTTCTGCAAAACCTGACGGACATGGTTAACATGAGACTTAGTGTCTGGGGAGAAAATCAGAATATCATCCAGATACACAAACACTGAAATATTCAAAAATTCCCGTAAAACCTCATTCACAAGAGCTTGAAACACAGCCGGTGCATTGCATAGTCCAAAGGGCATTACTAGATACTCATAGTGACCACTCTGAGTGTTGAATCCTGTCTTCCACTCATCCCCTTTTCTTATTCTAACCAAGTGATATGCATTTCTTAAATCTAACTTGGTGAATATTTTGGCAGTTTGAAGTAGTTCAAAGGCAGATGTCATGAGTGGCAGAGGATAGCGGTTCTTCACCGTAATGTCATTTAGTGGACTGTAGTCTATGCAAGGTCTCAGAGACCCGTCTTTCTTTCCCACAAAGAAAAATCCCGCTCCGGCTGGAGAAGATGAAGGACGGATAATTCCTGATTTGAGTGAAGAGGAAATGTATTCGTCCATTGCTGCTCTCTCAGGTCTCGAAATCGAATAAAGTTTCCCCTTGGGAATGGGGGGCTCCCGGTAAGAGATCAATGGGACAGTCAAAATCTCGGTGAGGAGGTAGCGACATGGCTTTGGATTTGTTAAAGGCTTCCTTTAAATCATGGTAACAGGAAGGTACCTTCTGTAGATCAGGATAGTCGGGGTGATCTATAATGATTTTACGAGAGTCTGTTGGTGCATTAACAGGTTGTGAAAGTTTACACCTGCCCATACAATCCTCTCCCCATTCCTTAATTTTCCCTGAACGCCAGTCAATGTGAGGATTGTGGATCTTTAGCCATGGAAACCCCAAAATAATCGGGTGCTGAGCCGACTCAAAAATATGGAATTGCATGCTCTCGGTATGGTCCTTATTCACAGTAATCTGAATGGGCTCAGTGCAATGGGTGACTGTGAACAACAAGCGGCCGTCTAAGGCACTGGCATTAATAGGATGAGATAGCGGAACAGTCTTCATTTCTAGCTGATTTACTACGCCCCAGTCCATAAGACTTTCGTCAGCCCCTGAGTCTATTAACACACCCTGGTCAATGGTTTGATTGTTAATACAAATGTTTACCTGCGTAACAGGTCGAGGAGGAAAGTCTGCGGGAAACTTGCTCACCAGCGCCCTCCTTTTGACTGGTGAGCACGATCTTTTCCCGGGCATGAAGCGAGTTGATGATCCGACTGGCCGCAGTAGAAACAACAACCCTCCCGTAGACGGCGCTGCCTCTCCTCCAGAGAAAGCCTGGTTCTTCCCAGCTGCATGGGTTCCCCGGAGTCATTCGGAAGTGTAATCCTCTGACGGTGTGGTAACATGGGCTGGACATCCTCGGCTGGCGGCGCGACCCACCAAGATGCATTCTGGGGGCTGGGAATAACGTCTCGGTTGCGTCGACGCTCCCTCTCTCTTTCCCGAAGACGGTTATCGATCCGGATGGCCACGGCGATGAGAGATTCCAGATCCCGGGGTGTCTCCAGTGGAGCCAGCTGGTCTTTTATCGGTTCCGAAAGTCCCGTCATGAAGGCGTCACGAAGAGCCGGAACATTCCATCCGCTGTCCGCTGCTGCTGTGCGAAACTCGATGGCGTAATCAACCACCTGGCGGTTGAGCTGGCGTATATGAAAAAGTTTTCTGCTGGCCTCTGTAGCAGGCGATGAGTGGTCAAAAATACGACTCATAGTCTCTATGAAATCGGTCAATGAGTAACATAGTTCAGTTTCTCTTGACCATTCTGCAGTAGCCCAGGCTGCAGCTCTTCCCGTTAAATGAGACACAATAAACGCCACTTTACCATGGTCCGATGAAAAGGCTCCTGGGTTGTGTTGAAAATGCAGATCGCACTGTACCAAAAAGGCTCTGCAATTAGAAGAATCTCCGGAAAATCTCTCCGGAAGAGCCAGCCGTAAAGGGGAAGAAACAGCCTGACTTGGGAAATCAGCTGGAGCATTGACAGGCAACCTCTCAGTTGTGGATGACGTCACCGGAGGAGCAGTCTGTTGGTGAGTGAAAAAATGATTCATTTGGACAGCCAGTTGTTGCATCTGTGTGGATAATGCTTCCTGAATCCCGGCCTGGCGTCCTCTTAGTTCTTGCATTTCCTGGTTGACTAGGCCCAGCTGTTCCTCGTGATGAAAGATCTTCACGCCCTGTGCTGACAGCGCTGCGTGAAGCGTTCTTGGGTCGGCTGGGTCCATAATGGTCAGTTCGTTCTGTTACGAACTCAGACACTTAGGATGTAGGACCCAATTGCACGACCCGGGAGACAGAGGTAAAGTATTAGTAAGATACTTTATTTTCCAAAATACAGCAATGAACAACAAAAAAGGTAACTATCAAATCTCTAACCGAGATGACAAAAATAGAGGAACAAAATGAAAGCGCTCACGTAGTGAGGAATCAAACTTTACAAGAGTACAAAGAGCATAGACCTGACCATAGCAAGAGACAATACGAACTGACAAAGAACACTTGGGAGACAGGGGAATATAAGCACAGGGTAACTAGACACAGGTGGGACCAATCAGGGGCGGGGCTGACATTGATGAGCACAGGAGACACAGGTGAAAATAATCAGGAAGCCTGGAATGAGAGAAAGCAAACGTAAATAACATGCATCTCTCTAGCATTTCTGTCGGTGCACAACAGGTACCCATACACAGGGGTACACTGGTACATTATTGACTTATCAAGGGTACCCATACACAGGGGTACACTGGTACATTATTGACTTATCAAGGGTACCCATACACAGGGGTACACTGGTACATTATTGACTTATCAAGGGTACCCATACACAGGGGTACACAGGTACATTATTGACTTATCAAGGGTACCTTGGCTGAAAAAACAAAGGTTTGAAGAGTCGGCTCAGTAGGCTGCAGGACTGAACTGCTCCTATGACAGAAGGAGCTGCAACAGACAGGTAAAGCCTGAAAGCTTCAGGATGATTACATGAGTAGGCGTCGAGGCTCAGAGACTTTTCACCGGGCGAAAACACTTTCTCTCAGATTGTGACGCTATCTTTTTTCTTTCCCATTTCCTTTACTTTTCTGCATTTCCACATCAGACTTTCTGCATTTTCCCACCTCCTTGTTTCTCTTCAGCGTTGCCTGTCCTCCTTGTTGCTTTCTCCTCCTCTTCTCCCTTTATTTCCTTCCTGCTCCTTTACTGTCCTCCTCTCCCTCCTGCAGCTCCTCCTCAGCTCCTCTCCAGACCCACAGCAGCAGCAGTGGGGTGATCCTGGACATCTCTGCCCTTAACATGGAGCAGAAGGAGAGCGAAGAGGTGCCTCCGCTGCCCCCCCGCTTCCGCTTCCGAGACCTGCTGCTCGGGGACCAGAGCTTCCAGAATGATGACAGGTAGGCAGCAGACAAAGAGACAGACACGTTCAGATTATGTTGTGTATTTGGTGATGTGCAAAGTGAAAACAAGTGAGAAATGGTGAGAGACATACCAGAGTTTGACGGTCTACTAATGCACTACTGTTAAGGCTTTAAAGCTGCAACAATAACCTCATGATCTGTTTGGCCAGTGACTTGTTTGTCAGATGCACACCTTCAACCAACGCTGGCTTCCCTTCTTTATCCATACACTTTATCATCTAAATGCAGTAGTCCAGAGTAGTGTTGACCAATCACATTCAAGCAGTTTGTGTGGAGAGAAATCCATAAACATATTCACAGAAAGTAGAATAAAATCCAATAAAACATTGGTACTTGTCCAGTGTAGTTATACAATGCTGCATTAATTTTGAGTCATAAGGTCACATGGCATGGAAAATATATGAGAATTTAAAAATAAGAATTCAAATAATAATATTTGTATGAGAAGCTCTAAAATCCAATAAAAAGAGGTGTCTTCATGGAGTCTTTAGGGTGCATGATGTAGAACCTAGTGAAAAAATCCAACATTTTCATATCATAAAAAGACCATACAGATTAAAGGTCCCATGTCATGGCCACTTCTACTGATCATAATTCCATTGTTGAGGTCTACTAGAATAGATTTACATTGTTCAATGTTCCAAACTCACATTGGTTTCTCATACAGCATCTCTGTATAGTATGTGTATTCACTCTCTGTCCTACACGGCTTGTTGGAGCTCCTGCTACTTTAAGCAAAGTGAATAATCAGCTATTTATCTACACTTCCCGTTGGTTGCAAATCTAAAACACTATATGGTAAAGGAAATTACTTACAGTAATTCAAAATACAGCTACATCAAATTCATCTTTCCTCATTTCAAATGGTAGCTTCTGTTAATTTTTTGTGCTGCCATGTGTCCACAATCCAAAATAAACTTTTAGTTTGAGCAGTGAGCGATTATTTGACGTCATCCCAGCTCTATCTGTTATCTAATGCTGCTCTCACCTATCAGAAGAGCTGATTACTGGACCTCTTCAGTTCAAGAGCCCTCGACCCTCTTCAGTGAAGGTGTCTGCACTTCCTTTAAACTAACATCAGAGCAGGGAGGGTTTACCTTCCTGCAGTCTTTAACAGCAGTACAGGGAGGACTGCTCGTTGCAAAAAATACTCTTTATTGAATTTTACACATTCTAACACAAAACAATGCACGACACCAGGGTCCTTCTTCATTTTCTTTTTAAATATCGCACTTATTCCCCTGGGAATAAGTGCCCAGAATCTAGATACTAATTGACATTCCCAATAGCAGTGGAAACATGTCCCTCTATGAACACATACAGGGGAAATGGAACAGTTAGGTAAGTGACAGGAGTAACATGCAGTCTGTGAAGAATGTGATACTGGCTTTCCCTGTTACATATAAACGTGGTTCTGATTAAGTTTATAGATGCTTGCAAATCATCTTCAATATGTTCAGTTCCCAAATCATTCTCCCATCTACGGGAAATATTTGGCAGTTCGTATGTGCAAGCAGAACCAAGGAGTGAATAAAAGGATGAGATAAAAGTGCTTTCCATTTTGCCGATAAACTTCTCTGAGTCACTGCAAGGGAGGAATCAATGATGTCTTGTAGCTGTGAGGAGTGTTCTTTCATCCTGTTATAGGTGTAAGTGCTCTTTAGATTGTTTCAGTTTTGAATGAGAAAATAAAGCAAGGAGTTGGTAGAGCTGTCCATGGTGCTGAAAATGAGGACGTTTCTGAATCACTGCAGTTTTGTTAGAGGTTGTGAAGAAGGCTGCGCTTGTGTTCGATACATTTCCCTCGAGAATGTATTCAAAACTTCAAAAAGGTCTGACAGGAAACACGCTTTCCTGCATTCTTCCTGTGACCTAATTCACAGTAAGAATGTGAAATGAGCTCTTGCCACCATCAGTCCTTCTGTTGTCTGTTTTCCTCATCCTTACTGTCTCCTCTTTATATTTAGTTTGCAATTTGATTAACAAAATCAATAGCACGATTATTTCTTTTCATCCTGAGATTTGAAACGCTGCAAGCTGAGCTCTTTTCTAAAAGTCTGAAAAAAGAGAGTCAAAAATATCCTAAGAAAAGAAAAACCTGTGTGCTTTTTTTCTGTTATAGCAGAAAAGAGTGCCTGAATTGACCCGTCTCGAGGAGTTTGTAATATGCTCATAAGTGCGTCCCCTTGAGATATGTATTCTGTATTTAAGCTGCCAGATGGACCTCAGGAGAGTAAAGATCAAATGCAATTTTAGATGTGATTACAGCAGCCGAACACCTTTGAGACGGCAGTGTGTTTTCAGAATATTTGCCAGGAAAAACAACAAGCTCTGCAAACGCTTTGAGTGAAATGTGATCCCCTCACCTTGCAACAACCACCGCTATAGCCCCAATAAAGCGCTCCACATTCCCAGCTCCTGTTTAGACACTAGCTATAATTCCTCTGCCGTCCGTCCCCGGTAGATAGTGTTGTTGGAGATGACGGATGTTCAGTGGACAGTCTTTTGTGCGTCTGTGAACTCCCTAATGTCACTGAACACATCTTCCCAGGATCATCAATCACTCACAGCTTCCTCTTTCAAAGTCAGGCATGCATGAGAAGAAAAACTAAAAAGTGTGAATACACAATATTGACAAACCGTCTATATCTAAAGTCAGATACGCGTTCTCTGAGGCTCATTTTGAAATGTTCATGTTTTCATCAATGTTTTGCTTTCTGTCACCTTCTGTCCAATTGACTTTGTTTATAACACGTCTTCCAACATCCACAGCTAAGTGAAGTCTCTCTGAGCATGACTCAGCGATACATCAATGCCTAGTTTTACATGCTATAAAGTTCTCTTCTGTCAATTGACTAATCAGTTTTATCATTAAATATTTGATATCAGGGCTTCAACTATTTATCATCACATGCAAAACCCAAACATATTTAAACAAAAAAGCAACAAAACCTCACAACTGAAAAAGCTGTAACAACGTAACTGCTTCAAAATAACATGAATTAAGTAAGGGATAATGTGCAGCGAGGCGGTCATTATGGGTCAAAGAACACCCGACAGGCTGATCAGGAGCCCGACGCGACGCGGAGGGATCTTGATCAGCATGAAGCGTGTTCTTTGACCCATAATGACCAAGTCGCTGCACATTATCCCGCTTATTACAAGGCCACATTCTCAACAAAGTAACGACATGACTCCCAATATTAATTTAAATGCTTTTATAGATTTAGAAAATGTTCTTATTGATTTTAAATGACATGCACCCGCTAAGCAAAATGGTCCGTTGTTACCGTTTGAACTACGTAGCAACGGCAGGAACTGCTTCGATAGCGTTTTTGCGGAGTGTCCGCAGCTCCGTGTTGAGGGTTTCTGCCCCGTTACTTCTCCGCTGTTTTCTTGTCCCTCTTATATTTTTATTTTCTTCGCTGGGGACTCATCAGGCACTAAACATTCATCCAAATTACTGTGCTTTCCAAATATATTAAAAGTGGAGTGTGGCCTCTTCTGTATTTTCAAAAAGCTCTGACCCATACAGGAGGTCATCTATAAATGACTACTTTAGGCTTTTTAAATGAAGAGCAGACAAAGAGGTGGAAGGGAGACAGGAGGAGAGAAAAGCCTCTTTTTATGTTGAATTATCTCAATTATTTGTATTTATCGACTTAGTTCGTATACAGATGCATTTCGTTCAGAATACAAACTCGTGATTTATCATAAAATAAAGGTTAATCACAACAAAGAAACAAAAATAAAATAAAAAAGATGAATAAAATACTGTTGTCTATATACTGTACATACACACGTACACATACATACAGACATACAGTAAGCAGAACTGAAAGAGAGGGAAACATGATCAGTGTTCTAACCCTTAAAGCATTACATTTGTATTTTAGTTTTAGTTTTTGCAATATCCAATCCATTGTCTCCATCTTATCAGCTGTGTGATTTTGGTTTCTAATTTGTTATGTTATCTTTTCCATAGTGTACACTTGATTGATCAGACACCCTGTGTGTATGGCTTGTATGTCGGGCCCCAGTTGTCACGGCTGGAGGGCAAGGTACACAGGACCCAAATGCAGAATATCCAAATCCAAAATACTTTTTATTGCTGAACTAGCAACAAAGTAAAATTAGGCAAGGCAAAACACAAAAATCCCTCTGAACAAAAACCTTCCAGCAACATCAAGAATCTCACAAAGACAGTCAGAAAAAACAGAACCTAAATGCACACAGGACTAATCACACAAACAAGACACAGATGAGGAGGGAGGAGAAAACACAGGGGCTCAAGGTGAACACTATCAGGTAATCAGGTAATCAGGCAGGAGGGAACACAGAGACAGGAAGCAACAGGCAAGATGGGGGGGGTGAACACAGAGACAGGAAGCAACAGGCAAGATGGGGGGGGGTGAACACAGAGACAGGAAGCAACAGGCAAGATGGGGGGGGTGAATACAGAGACAGGAAGCAACAGGCAAGATGGGGGGGTGAACACAGAGACAGGAAGCAACAGGCAAGATGGGGGGGGGTGAACACAGAGACAGGAAGCAACAGGCAAGATGGGGGGTGAACACAGAGACAGGAAGCAACAGACAAGACGGGGGGTGAACACAGAGACAGGAAGCAACAGGCAAGATGGGGGGTGAACACAGAGACAGGAAGCAACAGGCAAGATGGGGGGGTGAACACAGAGACAGGAAGCAACAGGCAAGATGGGGGTGAACACAGAGACAGGAAGCAACAGACAAGATGGGGGGTGAACACAGAGACAGGAAGCAACAGACAAGATGGGGGGTGAACACAGAGACAGGAAGCAACAGGCAAGACGGGGGGTGAACACAGAGACAGGAAGCAACAGACAAGACGGGGGGTGAACACAGAGATAGGAAGCAACAGACAAGACGGGGGGTGAACACAGAGACAGGAAGCAACAGGCAAGACGGGGGGTGAACACAGAGACAGGAAGCAACAGA